CACACACACACACACACACACAGTCATTCTGAAGAAGAATGTGAGGTGACCTGGGTCATGGACCAAAAGCATAACTGAATTAGGACCTGAGAATGATGATCTTGGCAAAAGAAGGGAAGATAAACTCTTGCTTCTGTGGATGCCTTGGGAATCTCCCTATTTTAGGAATCCTACAAATGTCTTATCTACTGTCTTTGAGATTAAATTCTCAGCTGCACCCTGATCATCTATTTTTAATTATCTTTTTTTCTCTTTATTTATGTTGGTTGGTCTCTTGTGTTTGGAGGGTTTTCTCACATGTCTTGGTTGTCTGGTCATATTTAAGAATGTGATGTCCCATGGTAGGGTTTTCTGTGTGAACAAGGCTTGTCAACTGGTGGGCTTTAGAATGATTAGGAGGTGAGACTGGGGTCATGTAGATCTAAATAACAGAACCAAGATAATTTTGTCAGGGAACTGACAATTATTCTGAGAAAAAAATTTCTCAGAGTTTGCCTATAGGTGGGCTCATGTCCCCATGGAATAGAGTGTGTGTGTCAAGGAGGGGAAGCAATACAGATTCTTCTGCACGAACTTTCAATGAATCCTTTTAGTTAATGCATGTGTTTTCAGCCTTCCTTTGCCTCCTACTATCATTACTTGGGCTTCCATAGCTCCAGCCGCTCCTGGGGTTCCACAGGGCATACTGCCTTTCTTTTCAGCTGTCCCTCATTTTAAGTTCATGTGCTCTAGCCTCTCAGCCTTCCCTGCCAGGCTTAATCAGCTACCATCTTCTTTCCATTCTCTCATGTAGAAGTTTGTTGACATCACTAGCCCACTGAAAACCTTTCACTCATTTTCTGTGTTGCTATGGATTTATACCTTCAACTAATTTCATTGCTATCATTTTGTGAGAACTTTGGAGATGGGAGATAAAGACATGTATCCATTTGTTATCTTTGACTGGAAATCTTCCTTCCATTTTTTAAATGCTCATGTACCAAAGGCACAAACCTAGGAAAAAAAATCTCTGTTAATGCTATAAGATGACATATTTTGCTCACATTTCTTTAATAGTTTAATTGAAGGGACAAATTTTTTTTTATTGTAGCAGTGTTTGTTTTTGTTTTGTTTTGTTTTGTTGTTGTTGTTTTTTATCCTGATGGGCACATGGATCATATAAGAGGAATACCACTTAAAATATTTCTGATAGAGTATGAATGATAGTCAGGATTGTTCAATAGGATGGGAGCCTCTGAGACTCTGGGAGACACAGGTTAGGGTAATTTATGAAGAAAAGTCTTTATTCAGTGAATAGAATGGTTAGGGGTTAGGTGGGTACTCCTGAGAACAGAATTGGTAGTGACATTTAGTTAGAGAAGGGCAGGACAAATCTTCGTTGATTTTGTGTCATAGAGATATAAAGATCTCAGCTGGGAAGCTCAGCTTTTAATTTATTAAAATATTTTTAATATTTAATTTATTAATAATATTTTTGATTGTTTTATTTTATGTAACTTATTTACTCACCCCTATTAATTTTCCTGACTTAGCCATCTTTGGAAGACATCATTTAAAGAGAAAGTTAACTTAGTACAGTTTGATGCTTCCATGACTGTGTAAGCTCTTAGTTTCCATGTCCTGGAAAATGCTGGTCTGCTTCCACCTGGTGGCATTTAGCGAGCATTGCAGAACAGAGTGATAGATTATTCACTTACGGCTCCTCAAGCAAATCTCAGTCATAGCTAGGAACCCTCAACAATGGATGAGAGCCTTCTGCTGCATGTGTGAATTTACACATTTGTTCTTTCATAATTGAGGGGTGGGCTGTGTGCAGGGGACAGTGACCTTTACAACTGTAACTGAGAGCTGCTGAGTAGCCACAATAGTGAGACAGGTTCATAGATAGTATAAAAGGCAGGCAATGATGACACTCAAAATATAGAAAACCCCAGTAAACACTGGCAAGTGTGAGATACCTATTTCTTCTTCATCTGAAAGGGAACAAAGTTATATATCTTCATGTGTGCATGTGTGGATCTGTTTGAAAGTTGTTGGGCAGGACACACATCACTAGACATTCATAAAAAGGGATTGGGGTGAAGAGGGTAGTAAAGGAAGACTTAGGCTATGTCTCTAGCATGTTTAAATGAAGGTACTCAGGAATCACTTATATAAATTTAACATAAATAATGGTTTAAAAAGATGACAGAAAAGGTGAAATAAGAAGGAAAGTAAGGATGGAAGACTTTGTAAGGTTACAAAAGACTTTGTGTGGTTTATAGAGGATAATTGAGACAGTGAGCAAAAGCCCGGTTTTGACACACTCATTCTGTTGGTGTAAAGCACAAGGCATCTTTATCAGTTGCTTGAGAAATTCTGCTGAGTGACAGAGTCCTTTCCCAATATACCAACCTACCAGCACAATCAGACACCAGCACAATCAGACCCAGCAGGCATCAAATGCTTTCAGGACCCCAGTCTTGGAAAAGAGCACTATAGAAATACAATCTTCAGAAGCAGGTGGCCAGATAGCCTGCTGTCACTTACATATCCCTTGACTTTCTTGGATGCGAAGTTCAGCACCCTGGTGATGATAACCATGACTCTCTTTTGCATGTATGATCTATCTTGATTCATCCACACAGCCATTTCCTGCGGAAAACACAAGAGCCATCCTAGAACCATGGTGTTTCCATTTCTAAATCACCACAATCATGGTGTTTCCATTTCTAACTTCACCACATCAAGGGTCACCACAGTCTCTGATTATTTCACACCTAACCTATATTTATTTTAAAAATGCACAATAACCAGCCAGTGTACTACTCTCTACTAGTGTACTCCTTCACTTACTATAGTATCTACACCTATGGTGGGTGTTATTTTATATAATTCTACACACAAGTATTTACTAATATCCACTCTAACAGTCATGTTGGCGAGCATCCTGAAAAGTTTACCACAAGGGGATGAGGGGATCATCAGTGGCTTCTCCTCTTTTTCTTTCAAAATACATATTCTCTCTCTTTTTTGTAAATCACAGGATCTGATTTTCAGTAAAAACATTGAAATGTTATCTGGTCTTGAAATGTCATTTTATCCTAGAATTTTCTTTCCCAGTTCACCACCCAGATATTTCCTGGCTCAGGTTGCCAAGTACACTCCTGGAGGCAGCTCCATTAAACAGTTTTTGAAAATCTTGATTCAGTCTTTCTTGCTGTAACTTCTGTCTATTCTAAATCCCCAGGGAACCTTCGGAAGGGAAGAATACCTGCATATGCTTCACAGGCCAATCACTATTAACAGACTTCTTAAGGCAGTCTGTTGAATCCATAGTCTTTATGCCAATGATTGGCCAGATCTCTACCCCTTCCCTTGTTCCCATTGCTTAAACCTGTTCTGAAGTCCATTTCCTAGGGCAGAAGCATCTCTGAAAGTCTGAGGAGTCAACCCCTGACTTTTCCAGAAGTGAGGTTCGGTACTTTTTGAGAACGGGGAGAATTTCTAGACATGGAAGGTGTGAGACTAAGATGGTTCAGTAACAGGCTCCCAAGTTAGAGTAGCTCCTCCACTCATTGGCATTGCATATACTATTCCTCTCTCTACTTCCATTTTCTTATCTGTAAAGTGGGAGAAATAATAGTAGCTTCCTCACAGGGTTAAGTATCAAATGAGATAACCCATGTAGTAAGTATTCAGCTGAGTGCCATAGAGTAACTGCTCAATACCCAGCATGAGAGAGGGTGTGTGTGAAAAAGCATGCATAGGGAGAGGGTTGTAATCATGGAGCAAGAACAAAACTTTAAAAAGTTGTGAAGTTAAAATTTAAAAAATGTGCAGGAAACATTTGGCTCAAATTAGGCACCAATTAGCTCAATATATTTCACTTTCCTTCACAGGGCTTCTTGTCCTCATAGATACCAATTCTGCTTCTTTCCTTGAATGTATTTTATGATTTGGACAACGCACGGATTTATAGTATTTCCAGACAGCTGCCCCCTGATGCCATTATGTAAGGAATGCAAAATTAAAGGCCCTAGGATGACCAGAGAAGACTTATGTCTCTGGTTGGGGGACCTTAAAGACACAGTGAGGTCCCAGATGTAAAAGTAGGTTTTGGACATTCTTAGGGTTTCCATGGATACCATAGGATGCTCACAAAAGCCCCAGAGTTGTTAGGGAAGAACCTGCATATAGACCCCATCAAGGCATGGTTCACTGTTCCATGGACCTGAACTTAGTGTAGACCAGTCATTCTACTCTCTGCCGTCCCCTGTTGTGTTCTCTCTTACATTGCCACACGGCACTTGCCTTCTGACGTGTCTATGCCATCCTCCCAAAATTAAATTCTTAAAAGGGCATCTCTGTAATTCAAATAAACAGAAGTGATTTCATTTGGTGGATACTGGCACATGGAGGAAAAAAATTTTTTTAGCCACTAGATATTTGAAGGAGATGTTAAGTATGGCAAATGGGAAATAAGAAGTGAAGGGGAGTGTGCTTAGGTTTACAACACAAAACCAAAATTGCTCATTTTCCCTTTACCTTTAAGATTTGCAGTTTGTAGAGGTCTTTAGACACTAAGATCAGAAGAGTGTCCTCAAATATGTTTAAAATACTTTGGTATAATTCCTGAAAAACAAAAATGTTGTACAACCAGCCAGCCAGCCTTACCCCATTTTCTGTAGTTTTGCATCCTGGTGTCCTGAGTTCTTCCCATAAACTGAAGGTAAGAAAGGAGAACAGTAGCTATGGTGATGAGAGCTCACCCAATGCCATGTGCCATGTGTTTCTTCTGCACCCCACATAACCAGTGTGCTGTGCAGTTATGCTGAGGAAACAGACACCACACATGTTGCTCATCTTACTATGGGACTGTTCCCACCTTCACCTTTCTCTGTTCACGTTTCCTTTTTTTAAAAAAAATATGTTTTTATTGATTTCAGAGAGAGGAAGGGAGAGGGAGAGAGAGAGAGAGAAACATCAATGGCGAGTCATTGATCAGCTGCCTCCTACATGCCCCTGACTGGGGATTGAGCCCACAACCCGAGCATGCGCCCTGACTGGGAATCAAACCCTGATTTCCTGGATCACAGGTCGATGCTCAACAGCTGAGCCATGCCCGGCTGGGCTCACATTTCCTTCTTTGCAGAACTTGCCAGTGAACTCCCTGTCCTTGCTCAACCAATTAACCAAAAATCCATTCAACTCATACCATCCATTAAATCCCATTGTATTGTAGAATTCATAAGTCCAGGGCTGTAGATTAGTGCTGGGAAGTGCTATGTATCTATTGTATGTAAAAAGAGTGAAGGAGAAAACCACAAAGGTCACGACCGGCAGAGAGTCACTGCGAAGGACTGCTGTGCGCATCACTATGTCCCATCACGATTAAAGCGCCCAAACGCTCACCTCCAGGTCGAGCCTCTCATTTTGGTCGTCCCCCATTTCTTGCACTTTGTCAAGACTTGGTATAGCAAATACCATTTTAAAGGATGACTCTATTATACTCAGCTGAGTTTCAAATTGCAGTAAGGGATCCACAAAGCTGGTGAGAAAAAGGTGTGATTATTAAAGTGAGGAGAAAAGAAATATAACCTAACTTTAGTCCCTTTTTCTTAGTGATAAGAGAGAGTAGACTAGAAAATGAGGCCCAGCCTTTGGCTTTATATGACACGTGGGTTTTAAATAGTCTTGTGAAACTGACAATGGTGCTTTAAATATAGAGGGATGAATTTTTTTTGCAAATATGATCTGTAACCAGTTACAGACATAATCAGGTAAAGTGGTTATATGCAAAGCCATGCTGAGCTTTAGGCAGTTTAAATATATTACAGCCACATTTTCTCTAACCCATGATGCTATGTTTCTCACATTTTAGTATTTCTGATATTGGAATGCATCTTCCAATTGATGGCAAAAGAAACCCACCCAGCAGCAGCTAGAAAGATACTTGTGAAATAGTTGTTATTCCTTTGGTGTATGTGATCTGGATAATAGTCCTTCCTGATTTTTATTGAGGTGAAATTATTTTTCTCCAAGATGGTGATATTGAATGGTAAGGTATGAAATCTTGTTCTGGACTCAGAATCTCTTTATTGGACAAGATACTCTATCTGAGACTTCCTGTTGGAAATGGAATGTCTTGGAATATATTAGGTAATTTTCAAATACTGGAAGATTGATTTGACATTCATGGGCTTTAATGGATTATCAGACTCTGAACAGCTATCTATCAAAAGTTTCTGGTTGAATTTTCAGTGGAAGGTATTTAACGTCTAGGGATATATTATCTGGTTTAAGAAAATGCAAAATTAAGATTTTGATGAAATAGAAAACAGCGTCTTTCAATGTACTTTGAAATCATATCACCAGGCCTAAAAAAAAAAATGCTAAAATGGTCCATGTCATGAACAAGGATTATGAAAGTAGTGTGATACTCTGATGCCATGATGGACAAATGATCTTCAGATGTTAAATGTGAGGAAGGCTGTGAGTCAGATGTTGGCCATACTGAAGAAGAAAGTCACATGCAAATCTATGGGTCAACATGGGCAATCATATGATTTGTTTTTTGGTCTGCATGTAATTTGTTTCCAAAACAGCAGTTATTAAGTTACTGATGTGTGTTACAAGTGACATCTTAGTGTAAATGCTTTTTTATATTCCAGGATGTATAACTAGGTGGTATAGAAAGGCACTTGAGAAGATAGAATAAGCATTCCTCACTAAATTACTGTATGAGTTTTCTTTTGTTTAAATTTTGAGCTAAATATTTGTTTCAAAGATTAAAGTGAGTAGTAGACCAAATGTACTAGAAAAAATTACCTGGGAATTTTTTTAAATGAAGCAATAAGTCTTAGATAAGATTGACATACAAAAGGCAATTTATATATTTGTAAGTATAATTTCCAGAATCACAACTGAATAAAAGAAAGTAGATGCCTCCAAATAAAAGTATGAGGAAATTATATTAAGCATGATCAGAAAGAAATCAGGAAGGCTATATTAATATGACACAACATTTAATTCAAATGAAAGTATTAAAATCTATAAAAAAATATCCTCGGGCCTGGCTGGGCATGGCTAATTGGTTGAGCATCGACCTAGGATCCAGGAGATCGTGGTTCTGTTCTCGGTCAGGGCACATGCCTGGGTTGCCGGCTTGATCCCCAGTTGGGGGTGTCCAGGAGGCAGCTGATCAATGACTCATCATTGATGTTTCAATTCTCTCTCCCTCTCCCTTCCTCTCTCTGAACTCAATAAAGATATATTTACAAAATATATATCCTCAGGTGAGGATTAAAAAAAATAAAGAAAAAGAGTATACAGTTTAAACTTTTAGAGCAATGATTTGTAAAAATAACATGAGTAGTATAACACTACCAATCATGATTTATCATTGAAATATAAGAGTGGACCAATATTCTAAAAACTATTAACTGATATATATCTATTAATAGATTAAATAATAAAATAGTTCTTTAATCAAACCTGAAAAAGTATTTAATAAATCTCAACATCATTTTTCTAAGAAAAAAACAAATAATTCCTTGAAAAGTTTTATTTAAACCAAGAACAAAAATACTGCTAATTGAGAAGTAGTGTGTTTTTATTAAAAACAGGAACAGCATAAGGGTTTAATTTCTTACTTTAAAATAATGTGTTAGAGTTCATTGTGTTTCTAAATAAGACATGATCTAATAAAAAAAAGTTTGTTAAGCTCAATCAAATACAGAATAAACACAACCCTGCCTTACATACCACTTCTATCTCAGTGTATCAGTAATTGCTTTCTGAACAATAAAATGAAACAGAAACCAAAATGCAGGGTATCTAATAAATCAGTCTAGGAATGTGTGAGATCTATATTAAAAATGTGTCAAACTTTCAAGGAAGACATAAAACTTGAATAAGTAAAAATATATTTATAAATAGGGAGATTACTTATACATGCCAATTATTCTCAAATTATTTTTACAAACTCTAAAACTGCAATTAAAATTTTAGAACACTTTCATCAGAAGTTAATAAAATACATTTACATTTCATTTGGAAAAATAAGCTGGGAGGACTAGCACAGACCACTTTGCTGAAAAAGACCAAGAAAAATGAGGAAGATCCAACTCAATCAGGTAATAGAATCTATTACAAAACAGCATTAAATCAGAACAGTTTAGCGGTGGCACCAAAATGAAAGTCTGAATAATGGGAGAGAGTAGAAAATGCCCTGATGTAGGAATAGCAAACACATGGGTAGAGGCTATGTCTCCTTTTCCAGGCCAAATGCGGCACTGATTTATTGTGACAGTATTTCATGTTGGGTCAAATTGCAATCTCATCACCCCCTCCCCCATTTTTTTTTAACTTGAAAATTCTATTGAGGTACTTGTAGATTCACATGTGGTTGTAAGAAATAATACAGAAAGACCTCCTACACTTCACCCATTTCCCCAGTGGTAACATTCTCCAAAAACTATAGTATAATACCCGAATATTGACATTGACTCAGTCTCCTGATCTTGTTCAGATTTCCCGTTTAACCTGTGCATGTGTTCATGTAGGTGTTGTGTGTGTACTTAGTCCAATATGACTTTATCACACATGAAGGATCATATATTTGCTGTTCCTATCAAGATACTAAACAGCTCAGAACCCTTAAAGCGGGTAACTATTTCATTACACAGACAAATAAAAAAAATTAAAAACCAACAACAACAAAAAAACTCAAAGGGTTAAATATGCCTCTGGAAATGAAACATTTTAAATAAGTATCATCTGTATCAGGGGTCAGCAAACATTTTCTGTGATGAACCAGATAATAAATAAGGCTTTGCTGGCCTCTGTCTGCTCCAACTCTGCCATGTAACACAGGAGCAACCACAGGCAGTACATGAAGGAATGGGTGTAGTTGTTTTCCAGCAAAACTTTGTTTATGGACCCTGAAATTTGACTTTCAGATAATATTTACATGTCATGAAATATTCTTCTTTTGATTTTTCCCCCAACTATTTAAAAATGTAAAAATTATTCTTATCTCTCAGGATGTAGAAAAATAGGCTGCAAAAACAGCAGGATTTAAGCACATGGACCATAGTTTACTGACTTCTGGGCTGTATAATGGGATTGTGAAGCCTAATGTAAATTAGTTCATAAATAAAAGTAACCTATAGACTAAAGGGTAACAAAAAACTAGGAGATATTGAACATAATATTAAAGTGCAATGTAGAATTAATTTTTTAATCAGATAGCATACAAAAATAAAAGAAAAAATATAGCTATGACTGTAAAATCAATTGTAACACGATAAAAGAGGAACAAATTTAAAAACTATGAAAACATCACAAGAATCCTAATAAACTGAATCCTAAAACACCATTAAAATTGTAATAAATTGGCAAAGAACATGAGAAAATTTCCACATGAGAAAATTCATAAATGCATAAACATAGAAAATATTGAGTCTACTTATAATAAAAGTAATATTAAAATAACAAGGAGGCAAAATTTTGAACCTATTTTATATCAGCAAGAGAAAAAAGTAGGTATGTAATGTAAATTTAGGTGACTAGGCTTTGAATAAGCATTTATTATTAGTGCAATTCTTCTGGACAACAAATTGACAGTATTTATTAAGCGCTCTGAGGAGGTTCATCCCATTGGCATTAGCCGGGGTTCAGGGGAAGCAGAGAGCCAAAAGAAGACTTAGAGGTGCACAAGGTTTCTAAGAGAAGGAGAGAAGCAGGTGGGAGGATTAGGGTAGAAAGAGTCTTGGACCACAAGTTTTAAGGAAGGTTTGACCAGGCTGATGGAGATTCCTCAAGCCAAGTCACCCACTGGAGTTGCTTGTCCCACCACTATGGGTCATCAGAAGTGAGGTCTCAGCAATGGTCCTGTTGGATCCTCACTGCTGACTTTATGAGGTTGTCGACCAATGAGGATCTGCAGCAGCAGGGCATTTTCATGGCCTGTCATCAAAATCAATAACTTCACTTGCAGAATGGTATTTCAAAGTAGTATTTCAGAGATGATACAATCTTTCATGTACAAAGATGATTACCACAATTTTAGTAAAACATAATTTAGGAAATTTCAAAATCTGGCAATAGTACACTGCCATTAAAATGAAAATCTGATTGCAAAGGAGAATAAAAAGTAAGACAAAATGCCAAAATGGAAAGTATTACAGAGCATCGAGTGTGCAATCTGCTTATGATTCTGTGATAATTAAATTGATCTGCCTATCCATGCAGTACAGAAAGATTGGGAAAGAACACGAGAAGAAAGAAATAAATACTTGCTGAGTTAGGATGGTGGAATTTGGAAAGTTTTTTATTTTTCACCCTTGTGATTCTTCTCTATAACATTTTAAAGATAGTGAAATAAGAGAGGATTGCAGTTTATTATACCTGGAGTTTATGGACAGGATTATGGCTTGATAATTCAAGATGCTTGTGTATGTATCCCATAGACTGTTAGCCTTGCGCTCCTGTATCAGGAAAAAGAGAAGAATCCATGATAACAGGCCTGGGAGACTCATAGCATCATGGGAACACACTGGACTGGAATATAAGCCCCAAAGTTTATAGAAGTGTTGAGACAAGGCAAAGTACAATTTAAACTCACGATACTAAGTGCCAGCCTTTTATAGCCAACCACTGTGCTCCTATAATTAGCATTTCCTAGCACAATTTTGTGAGGAATGCTCTTTACCAGGTGCTCTTCTGCACAGCACTGTAGCTGCTGTTGTCCTTCAGTTGTCCTATAACAACATGGACCTCTGCTTCCCATCTGTTAGCTAGCTTCTCCTTTTTTCATGGAGCCAAGTGTGTCACTACAGCTCCATCAGGTTATTGTTCTGTCCCTTTTACTTTGGCATCACATCTTTTGTTGAATCACTGACTCACAGCATGTCCCTTCCTTGTCATGTTTTCGCATGTGCCGTATTATCGCTAATGTTTATCGAATGCGAAAGCCAATGCACACACTGGTAAGCAATGAGGGTTGACAAGCTTATATGAACTGCTTTTCCAGGGGGTGTCATTCTAGGAAGTTATAGGAATTAGCCATAAGTTTCACCTGCTTTCCCCAATTAGGTTTTTTGTTATTGTTTGGAATATATAACTTGCTCACCAGTATTCCCAGAAATTCTTCAGTGCCTCCTCTGGGGAGGTATGATTATCATTCTGGCTTTAACTTCTATTCTGTGGCTAAGTTCCCTTTTAACTCATTTTCAATTACTCCCTAATCACTATGGATCTTCATTGGAAACCCACAGTAAATGATAAAACGGTCACAATCCTGGAAATCTGTACTTTGTAGTATATTTTGTAACACTAGGTTCTAGGGTCAGTTTGGTGAGCCTTAAGCTTCCAAATTTATTATTTTGGCTTTCTTCTCTAAGCAGACCATCTGCTTTTTATATATATCTTATATCATTGACATTTTTGTTCCATATCTGCTGTCATTCTTGGCCAGAAAAATTGGAGTCATGCCCGTTTCACCAGTTCCTTAAATCTCAGATGTTTCAAAGCACAGGCATATAATGTGTGTTCCTGATGCCACCTTAGCCTGGGGGAAAATGGGATTATCATAATAATCATTATTCTGAGGGAATTTGAAACCCCCTCTAATAATTCCCAAACAATTCTGGGAATGCTCAAAGGGAGCCACAGTCCTCTAGAGCATTATGTGAGTCTTCACATTTTTCCTTCATCTCTAGATAAATAGAATCTAGACAACAGCAAAATATCAAAAAATGCAGAGAGCCCTGGACAGTGTTTCTCAGTGGTTAGAACATTGGCCCGCACACCGAAGGGCTGTGGGTTCAGTTCTATGTCAAGGGCATGTACCTGGGTTCCAGGTTTGATCCCTTGCCCCCATCAGGGTGCGTGTGGGAGGCAGCCAATTGATGTGTCTCTCTCACATCGATGTTTCTCTCTGTGTCTCTCCCCCTCCCTCCCTTCCACTCTCTATAAAAATCAATGGAAAAAATACCCTCAGGTCAGGATTAACAACAACAAAAAGTTTGGAGAAATGGGGTATCTGAGTTGGGGGCATGAATGTCCCAAGTCCTTACCTGTTAGGCTTGTTGTCTGCTGGGTTTCACTGAACGTAGTGATGCTGATGGCGTCATGGCCCCACCACCGAGGCCAGATATTGAGAGAGCTGAAGGCTACACTGGGAATAAATTCACCCACCACTCCCAGAGCTAGTTAAATGATTTCCCACTATTGCGGAAGACCCCAAAACCAGTGTCCCTACAGCACTTTCGGTATCGTGGTTCTTCTGATTTTTACTGATTCTTATATTGCAAATTTATATACACATACATAGCTTGACCCTGCAATGAAACTTAGATTATCTAGAGAAGTGTCTCTTTTAATAAACTTTTAAAACATTATACTCTATTTATGTAAACATTTAAAAAAGCGGTGCACACACGTACAGATGTGTAAACAGTGGACAAAGTCTCCAAGTTCTCCCTCCCCTGCCAGCTCCCATACCCGAATTTCCATCCTAGAGTGTACAGTTGTGGCTGGTTTCTTGTGCTCCCTTCCAGAGACAGAATATGCACATACAGGAATGTTAATAACAATCTTTTGGCTGAGGAGACTAGCAAATGGTTCTATTTTTTCTGCAACTGCTGCCCCCTATGCTCTGCCAACCTCCTACCCTGGAATCCCTCCTAAAATTTCCATCTCTTTGAGTTATTAAAACAGCTTCACCATTATTATTAATACTGAATCGTTTATTTAAAATTATCAACCTCATTATTTATTTACAGTTTGGTGGGAAGGATTTTCACTGTGATGATAGAAGGATATGAGACATTGCAGCAGATGTGTCAGGAGAGGGGTGGGTGGGCCAACAGTGGGG